GAAATGAGTGGGAAACGTTATTTCTGCCAATTCATCTCTCCATTCGCTTTGTAGATTGCTACCTTCACTCAGCATATTTTAAAAACTCGCTAGCAAGTTCTCAATGAAGATGTTGATTGAGACTGATGACACCAATAGTAAAGGAATCTTTATCAACTTTTAAGTTGCTAGACCTTGTTTAGTTTGATCCTTTCCTTTTCAATCCTCTGATTAGTTCGGGCTCATGAAATTTACCCTCTATCGGTTGCTTGTCAGCGTCGAAAAAATTATAAGTTCGCGTGAGAAGTGTTCAAATCAATAATTCGTGACCATCGGCTTTGTTGGAATAAGTAATGTTTAACATAGATAACATCCAAGCCCTGTACTTGCGCCATGCTCTTTTTGAATTTGATTACTTCTTTATACTGCCTCGGCAAGAAATCTTTCAGCGCATCCGGAATTGCTATGCCTAAAAGAAACATTTTTCATGACAATTTCTACCACCGCATACAAAAAAAAACATATCAAAAAACCTAGCCAACTGACAGTTGAACGCAAGTCAGAGTAATGAACGCAAAGAAACAGAAACATTACGAGGCCAAACTGTGCACTGGATAGGAGCACAATTTTGTGTCTGTATGTTCCTGGATTCCAGCGACAAGTCTTTAAACGTGTGAAAATTTGGTCGGAACGATCCAAGGAAGGTAAAGAACAAAAGAAGATTAAAAGGAGCGTCCTTGTTGCGGAATCCGCTTACAATGCACAAAAAGCACAGTTTGGCCTCTTAATGGACAAAATAGTGACCTGTTTTTTGAAAAAAAATTCAGTTTTCAAATTTCGAGGAAACAAGATGGCCTTAAAGCTCTTTGAATTTTTAGAACAATTTATGATTGGCACTTTTTGATAAAATAACCCATTTTGGAAAACCGGATCAATAGGTAAATTTTCATTTCGCTGGTAAATCTGCTAATTAAACTCAATTTTCAAAATTAGAATTTGATCATGTTTTCCGTGTCCTTTACATTTTTACTGTACGATAATGAAGCATGCCTTCCTTTTAAGAAGCATGCCTTCCTAGAAAATGCTGCTTCAAAATTCCAATGAGTCTCTTTGAAATGTTTTATGGAAGCCGGACTCGATCTTTTGAACAATATGTTTCGTTTATTATTGCGATTTCGCGAACAGTCAATTGCAGTATCTGCAGATAATGAAGGTATATTCAAGCAAAAAGGCATCAAACAATCTGATCAGTATGCCCTTCGTTTTTTGCGGACCAGCAAGAATGGCCTAAAACAATACTGGAATACTAGATTGTTATTCGGTGCAAAATGATTGGCGTCGATTGCAATTTTAACATTGCATCAAACTGCTGAAGACATTGCCGGAAACAATTCCGATAAAACGCAGCTCAATAACCAGAATTTTTTTTGGATGTTTTTTTTCTTTCATTCAAATTCGTAGACATCGCGGGAACGTCAATCTCAAATGTAAAATCTACTTTACAAAAAGGATGATTCAATCTAACAAAATTCGCAGATTCTGTTTACTTTCGAACTACTACAGTTTCTAAAATTAGGGCCGATTTTCTTATTGGAAGAACCAAAGTAGCTCCACTGAAGCAGGAGAGCATCCTTAAGCTCGAGCTACAAGCCGCTGTGTGAAACGATTTTACAAAGTCGCGACTCTGTATATCATTTTAGATGAAACAAGGTTTGAGCCAGACTCTGTTTTCTACTGGACAGAGAGCACTACGGTTCCGTCTTGGCTTAAAAATAAGCCTACGCGCAAGGATTTTTGAAGCAGAAGAGTCACTGAAATAATTTCCTCTTCCAAAGAGTCACAGTAGAATCAAATATCAGGGAACCGTAATCCAGCTGATCATGCAACAAGAGGAATACTGCTTTCGGATGTCCATTAACTCTGTTTCCAGCCTCCTGACTTTGTGATACCGGAATCAAATTGATTTAAGTCTCCACGTAGTGAAGTTACGTTCTTCAACGCAAGAATAGGAGAAGCCAAGCCATTTATCGATTTTTCACGGTTCTCTAAATGGCTCAAGTTTCTCAAAGTATCTATCATGATTCTCATGTTTATTAGCCTGCTGAGGAACAACGGGAAAAAACTGCCTTACGCATATTAATGGGATTCAGTAAAATCCCCTATTTTCGAAACTTTTCGAGAAAAAATTCCCAGAAACCATCAAATGAATCCAAGTGAAAAAATTGAACAAAGACATTCTGTTATCTATAATACTCTCAAAGCTAGGGGACGTCTTCGACAATCGCCAATTCGCGAAACCGCCAAGTACCCTTTTATTCTTAATTCTAAAGAACCAGCAGCACGACTTTAAATCGAACACGCCCATTGCCCGCAATATGTCCGCAATTACCTTCAGCATAAATTTTCTCATCACTCCAAGGAAAAGGGCTCGACATCTTCATTTCGGATCTTCCCGCCACTCGCTTTCAGGATCCAAATAAAAACCCTTATCCATTCAAAACTATCGAGTTAACTACTTTGGACCTTTCCATATTGTCAAAAATTCATCAACGACGAAGCAAGTTATCCGTTTGTTCACGGGCTTCACTACTCGTGCTATGCATTTAGAAAAGACAGGAAGCCTCACAACCGACAATTGCGTGACAGCTATTTGCAGGTTCAAAGCACGTCGCGGCTCATCACAACGACTACTCTCGGACAACGCGACATACTTTATGGGAGCGAAAAAGCAGTTGCGTACAGAGTCATTTTCATTCGACACAGAGATAACTATTAGAATGATCAAAATTTCAGCTGGAAAATGAATTTTTCTCACTTTGGTGGTGTGTGGGAGTGACTCGGTCAGATGATTGAACGAGTTTTCCTTCTGAATCTTGGATCTGCACGCCTTTCTCGAGATATCTTAATCGCTATCGTTGCTGAAACCCAAGGACTACTGATTGGACGATAATTGACGCATGTGAACAGTGATATCTCGGACGACCTTCAGTTGACGCCGAACCAATTTCTTCTTGGCAGACCATTTGTGTACACAACCTCAGTGACCTTCGATGACCAGTCAACCGGTAAGATGTCCGCGAAGTCTTGGAGACTAGTGAAAGAGAAGATGGACTGCTTCTGGCTCCGACTGCTGAAATAATATGCCCCGAAACTCAACCGGCGCACGGAAATGGTCACAGCTAGACAATGTCATCAAAACTGGAGGACATAATCAAAACTGGAGTCCATCGCCAAAACTGGAAACAACGAGACTTTTACCGGGCCTGACGGCAGAGCGCGTTGGTGCGTCATAAAAACAGCGCCAGGGAATATAACTCGACCCGCCATTAAATTAGCTTTGATAACACCTGGGGAAAAAACTAACCTCCCACGAGGATGTTATTGATCACTAACTGTCATTTTATTATTGTCGATTGTGACTTGTGATTGTAACATCTTGACATGTTGAATGTAATTGTAAACACTATCATTTGACTGACTGTAAGATAAAGTTGGAATTAAATATGAAAAACCATGGAACTGAAAGCTTAAAAGACTAATGGTTCGGCAATATCATTATCAGGCTTAGCCGCATATGCAGAAAAGATTCAACCAACCTGTAAATTCGATTGAAACCACACATCCAGGTTCTGCAGGGTAGTTCTCGAGAGAAGTTGAAAGTGTGGAAAAACTGTCCCAAATTCTAAACTCTTACTTTTCGAGGGCCAAAAATTTTTGTGTCAAAAAATTTTGAGCGATTTGGGGTAAGCAAAGGAGCTTCCTCAGGTTTGGGAGGTTAGTTTTCGAGTGTCAAAAACAAACGGTAAAAAATCTGAAATTTTACCATTCCTAGGACCATTATTTAAAAATTAAAAAAATTTCGAGATTCGCCGCTCATGGAGGGAAGCTTTCATATCCGCACTATTCAATGAGAAAAAAATAAATCATTTGTTTGGTAAGTTTTGGAGAAAGCGAAAAAACTCAAAATATCGGTCTCAAACTTTTTCGAAGGCTATAGACAAAGGGGTAAATAAAAACAGACCAGGGGGAACAGGGAGTATGCAGCCAGACAAAAATATAAACGGTCTTGTTTGCAAAAAATGAAAAACAAGGCCGACCATCTTTGAGCAGACAGCAGTTGAGCAGAAAAAGAATAAAAACATTTAGTAAAAAAAGTTTTAATTCACCTTGAGACTACAATGAACAACACTTGCAAACATAAAAAAAGTTGCTTAATGCACAAGAAAAATCAGTGATGTGGCAACAGCCGACAAAACTTGAGCAGATAAAAGAAACTCCGACAATTCAATTATTAACGGAAAAAACAAAATTGCAAACATACTGAAAAAAAACAAGGTCCGGTGGGACTCGAACTCACAACTTAGATGCAAAGTTAACCACGTCATCTAGGTTCAAAAAGAAGCAAGCAAAAAGGCAACTAATATTTTTACGAAATTTTTCGACGGAAAAAGTCTAGTTCCCAATTACAAGACACTTGCTCTCACAGGTGTAATAACGATACAGCTAGATAATTTAGTCACATGCCATTTTGCCCCAAGTCAACTTTTCACAGCCCAACTTGTTCGTTTCCACCATGCCCCAGATGACAACTTGTCCAATGCCACCTTGTCCCAGATAATAGAAAAATGAAACTTGCCCCAGATTCTTTGATATCATCTTAGAACATAATGTTGGCATAAAGATGAAAGATATTTTTGTTGAACAATTAAGCTTGAAATATAGGCCATGTAGGGCAAGTTAGTATAGTACAAGTTGGCATAGGGCCGATTGACTTAGGGCAAATAGTCCTGACACCGATCACTTGCATCTGCTGGCTAATTAGCGGTAAACTTTGTTTCTAAATATGCAACTTTATTTAACCTACGGCGTTTAATTACGCTTCCCATGACTAATCACTGAATGCTTTGATGTGGAAGAAGTGTGCGCGAAAAAAAGCCAGAGACCCGTCAAGGCCAGCTCAACTGGTGGTGCTACTAGTCATAACCTGAAATTCTCGAAGCTTACGGCAAAGGACAAGCTGATCAGGCCAGTTAGAAATAATGTATTACCAGACCCGTCAAAACAACCCCTGGATGCAATAATTTACAATTTTACACAAGATGACAAATATGAGAAAGAAACTTTAAGCTGCCACAAAATAGTTCATGCATTAGCATAAGACCCTCATCATCGGAATCTAATTCAACAGGTGTATTTTTGAAGCATTCAATTGATTAGCAGTAGCTCATTCTTCTGCTTTCGGCTTTTGCTTTCCCTTGTCTCCAGCCACACCCGTTGGCAGTTTGTTCTCCTCCTGTACTTGCGCCATACTCTTTTTGAATTTGATTACTTCTTTATACTGCCTCGGCAAGAAATCTTTCAGCGCATCCGGAATCGCTATGCCTAAAAGAAACATTTTTCATTACAATTTCTACCACCGCATACAAAAACATATCAAAAAACTAGCCAACCGACAGTTGAACGCAAGTCAGAGTAATGAACGCAAAGAAACAGAAACATTACGAGGCCAAACTGTGCACTGGATAGGAGCACAATTTTGTGTCTGTTATTCTGAGCTAGCAACCATATGTGCGCCGGACAAAACGCTTGCTAGGAATAAAGGGTCCTTTCTACTTTCTATCTTAGAAAGTAAATCTAAAATTCGCTGAGAAATATTTTATTAGAAAAGAAGTTAGTATGAATTTACAGCAAGTTGCCTTTTGACTCAACATATATTTTTTACGGTGAGATTAGAGATATTTTTTCTGAGATTGGATATTATTTTAGAGAATGGTGGGGGTGGTTGAAGAGAGTGGTGTTGGTGTTAGAAGAGATATTGTTGGGATATTAGAGAGGGAGGTTGTGGTGTTAGAAGAGATATTGTTGAAATCACGCCACTTTTGGGATCAAATAAGAAGTTACTTCTTAACTTCGTATTCTCTATTCGTACATTCGTATTTTACGAGAAGAAAGTTTCGTATGCTCGTACTTGACGAGAGGAATTGTTATTATTCGCATTGAATGAGAATAGTCGTTTCAATTCTCAATGCTTAAAACGTTATACGAATTATTCCAATAGCATTTCCCTTCCTTTTGCAAGGGAAAAAACATATTTCTTTTGTGGTGGCATTTTGTGAACGCAATAAAATAATTCATGTTTCTGTTTCTCTTTGAAATCAGAACATATCCATCCTCCTATTTGGAGGGGAAAAAACTAAAACTTTCATTTTTTTACTTTCACTTGAATAGTGGGGTAATTGTTGATCGATCGAAGCTTTTTCTTTCAATCTCATAAAGTTGGTTCAATAGTTTGTTGGTATTACAGGTAGCAGATGTTATCGAACAACTGATAATTTGAGTCAGGCTTGAATGAATATAAATACATCAGTTACATTAATAAATCAAAATAGAGTTTACACAACCAAGAGATTTAACTATAAAATTAAATACATCAAAATTATTTGTTTCTCAAAAGTTTGCAGGTCAGTTTAAAATTATCATTCCTTGAACATTCTTTTTCCGAAGTCTCCTTTTTGTCCTGAAGTATGTGAAGTGGATGTCCATATGCGTAATAAGGGGAGGACTGGTTCATACAAAAGGGTGTATTTTTTGTTTTTTTTTTGTTTTTTATAAAAGTCAAAATTGTTGAGAAAGGCAAAATTAATAGCTATACTACATAGCTATATAAAACGAAAGAATAAATGTTTAAATGAAAGGATAAATTTTTACAAATTTCCTTCCAACCGGGCTATAAGTTAGTGATTTTTTGTTTTCAAATTGTGGATTTGCTTTTTCAGCTACCGGATTTGATGCGTTTCATGTATATGACTGCGCTGAATTTGTTCAGTATATTCATCTAACTGGGGGGTTTGTAATTTTGCTGTCAGATATTTTGCTGGGACATAGATTTTTTGATATTCAAGAAGGGAATTAGTTATGGAGTACATTTTTTTTATCGGGTGATAGGCTTCTAATTTAAGACGGTTGATTAATGGATTCAAAGCATAATTGAGATCCATATCGAAGCCGCGATTACTGTTAGAATTAATGTATCGTTCCCTTTCTAACTGAATATGTAATTTAGTGTTTAATTCAGTGGGGTGTAAGGGCTGTCGCCTAATGGTCATTGGATATTGAGAAATTGATACCGGCGTATTTGCCGTTAGTATCGTATATGGTCTCACAATCTGGGTTCGCTTTATAATTCGAGAATTCGAAGGAACCAGGGCTATTTTGAAATCAGGGGGTGAAACTTTTAGGGGTGGTGGCTTTGATGCTGTAGTTATTGGGACAGCTGAATTGGTTTGAAGTAGTGGCTCAACGAAGGATCGTGTTGAGGTCGGCGTTGCAGTGGGGGTTGTAATAGTAGAAACAGTTGGTTGTTGATTGAGTGCTGAAATTTGTGAATCCAGCGGATCGGTTGGTGGCAGGAGTGAGAGAAGATCCTCAAAATCTCTCAAGTCGTCATCAAGTGTTGCGTCCATAGTTGAATCTGTTGGTATATCCTAGAACAGTAGAATTTTTTTATTAGACTGAGTTTTTTGGGTGATCCAAGTTTTGAGTTCTTCTCTCGAAACTTGTTAATTGGATGTGAGGATACATGCGATCCTGGTTTATTTTATCAATTTCCTCTAAAAGAGGGGCTTGTATTTTTTGATCACATTCTTGTTCAATTTTTTAGTTTGCTCATCTTGAGTGAAAATTGAGGTCACTATGGAAGTGAAAAGTATATTATATGAGGCGGCAAGCAATACTTTGCCAAAGTGTAGTGAGCGGCCGGTGATTTTGTGAATAGCCTTTCTTATGAATACTAGGCAATCTAGTATGAATTTCATAAATAGAAAAGAGGCGAAAACTATTCCGCATTTTTCTAAATAGTATTGTACTTTTCCGAATATACGGGTGTATTCGTTTTTCCAAAAGTTTGGAGAGATGAGATAGTCCAAATATATTGTTTGGGAAGAGCCTAGTGGGCTATATGAGTCCGTGAAAAGAAATTTTTTAGCATTTAGAAAGGACCTGGATACTTTTTGTAGTATTCCTTTCATCTGAATTATCGGAAATCATATTCCAGAATTTTTGCATTTGAGCATAAGTGTAGATTGAAGCGCCTTGGCTAGAGGCTAAAGAATGCTTAACTTTTTGAACTATCAATTTGTTTATAAGAGATATGGTCCTGTAACCCTTGTAATTTGAGGGGTTAATTCAATCCAGGACTTATCATCATCAACATCTAGTTGAAAGAGATTTGAATGTTTGTCGGAGCAGTCTTGTAGATCTGCCGACTAAAAAGTTTGTCGCGTAATTGGATCGACAAATCGAACATTTTCCTTATACATAATGGGAATGCGATTATAGCATTCATCCATTAATTGCAAAGGTGAATAAAATTTCGGACAATGGTAGAGCCAGGCAACATTGCCATTGGTCTCTAAGAACATAGAGCGGTTCTGAGTTAAAATATAGCCAGCCAAACGTGGGCTTTCAAGTGAAAGCATTAAAGTATTTAATATTGAGGAGCGTTCTAGCTCACATTGATTTTGCAGTAGGGCTAACTCGGCCGTTCTGAGCATGTAGAAGCTATAAAAAAGAATATAGTCCAATTTGGTTCCTATATGAGCTTCGTAGTCAATTTGATGAGTTGAAAATTTGAGTGGCGGCAAATCATCACTTGTTGTGAGAAAAGTAGAATTTGGTTGGCCGGCATTATGAATAGTTCCCGTTTCTGGGGTTGGTTTAACTTGGATTCAAGTATCCATATTGAAACCGTCAGTGTATGCAATAAAAATTGAATCATATGAAGTTGGATACACTATTCTGGGATGACCACAAAGAGATTGCAGTTTATTCATCACCTGTAGCATAAATTTTTGAGAATCCATTGTTTGGGTAGAATGAATGGACGGGCTAGAATTGCCTTTAATTATATAGTATGATTCTTCGTTTTGAATCATTTTAGCCGGAAATCTGTTTAAAACAGTGAAAATGCAATTTTTGGGTTCTTCCCAAGTATAAGCAAAAGCGTCTAAGGATGTTGTTTCACATCCATTTGTAGACACTGGACAGGGCAAAGGAATGTTTTGCCAATTATTGACTGTTCCATCTTTGAGCTTAACAGTCAGAGTTACATTTTGCATGTAAGTTTCAAAAGTGTCCAATTTAATCCAAGAACGGCCATCACATTCATTATGATGTTTGCCGTCAACTTTGCCAGCATGGGCATTAGTTACTGTATTAACATTAAATTTGAAAGGAATATTTCCAATACTAGCATACCCTAGGTTAAGATAGCCTCTGTCGGCGGCCGATTTACATTGATCGGCAGATAAATGGAGATCAGTAGTGATATATTTTGTCGAGCGTCGATACCACTCGAATCAAAAGAATCGCAGAAACAACGCAATGATTGGTGTTTGATTCGACACATTGTCGCATTTACTTTTGTGCGATAATGTCTCTGATATAGAGTAACATAAGCATGGGTTACTTTAAAATTTTCTGGTTGGAATTTGCAAGGTGCTACTTTATTTAGAGAGAACATTTTGTTAGAAGTCATTAGTTGACAATCATAATGAGCAACCCGAAGATTATTTGCAGTATTTGCATACAATTGTTCTTTCGGATCAAATGCTGAGTTTTGATTCGAAAGTATTATTAGAGTTAAAAGACCAACCAAATAAATTTTTTGCAAATTTATTTTTTGGTGGTGAATGATAGCAAAAGATTTTTTAAAAGTACTCACTTTAAGCATTTCCTCGAGAGTAGTTAGAACAGGATCTTGGTCCATTAGTTCACCTTCCTCTAGTTCACTGTTTGGATTTGTCATTTTGATGGGGAATCTGAGTTAGATTTTTATTTTTGTTTGAGGAATTCAGTAGATTTATTTTTTTGGAGAGAGGAGGTTTTGAATGCAAGATGTGGAATTGAGCAAGAATGAAAACAACTGTATATCAGTTAGTTTTTAAAGGCTGTTTTTGCTTTTTTGCAAATCTAAGCTCTGATTGGCCGTTGTTATTCGGCGTCTTTCGGAAGTGACTCTTTTTAAGTCGTTATTCCTTCGCCATTCGTTTTGTAATGTTGTGTTTTTTTTTCACTCTGGTTTAATGTCGTAGTTTTTCCACTTAGTTTTGATTTCTTGAGATCTAGCAGTGAAATGATTTTTATTCGTTTATGCTGATGTTAATTTTTAACAACTGCATTCCCCTTCCCTATTGGAGGAGGAAAATGAAAAAAAAACTCTTCATAAAAGAGGACTAAAAGCAACATCATTTGTTTGCTTTCCGTTCAGTTTTAACTATCTTTATTTTATTCTCAAAAAATTTTTCTTCGTCCAAAATGAATTTTATTGATCCTGAAGATAATCTGGTGGACTTCCCGGAGAAGTTTTTGAACTTACGGGACGA